AATGAAAGACGACATTAAAGACTTAAAGACGGCACCATCCTAATTTGTCCTATCCTCTATCTCGTACATTGGATTAAAATCTAGACCGGCATGAGACATCTATTACTGCGATCGCTAGCTTTGGTTAGCTTAACCGGGGAAAGAGAATCGCTTACACAGAACACTAGCGTAATATTGCTGTGTGTTGTACGGGAAGTGATAAGAATTCCGATTCTGGTCTCCATTTTAACTAGTAACGAGGTATTTTATCTTAGTCCTAAGGGGTGACTTCGCATTTATGCATTTTGATTTTGAATAGATGATAGATACAACTATCTATGTACCACCGTTACTGAACATATGCCTCCCCCACAGATTGCCACGTAGGAGGGATATTTGCCCTGCTATGTGCCATAGTATTCTCTTATATTATGTGGACTTTCAGTTAATCGTTTGACCCTTACTTCTATGAAGAACAATTAACAATCGGACAATGGGACAAATCAAAAAGCTAAATATGTAAAGGTTAAATCGTCGATAACACATGTGATCATTGGTGGAGAACAACGCACCACAAAAGTTCAGTGGCCGGTCTTTACAAATAAAATGAATACATAACCTGATGCTTGCTGCGTGTCGGGCGACGTTTGATTGTAGGGGGAAGGCGATAGGGTTGAACATTATACATTTTATTTTTATATAGTTTTATGTTATATTTAATATACAATACAATCAGGGTCGTATATTGTGGTATTCCTTGGTGCAGGTCTATGTTCAGGACTTGTGAATGGTTATAATAATGACACTAATGCATAATATTTAATTTTAAGCTTGTTAGTTTAAGAGACAAAAGGTCGCTTTATATTTCATAGTACGCAACGTTCAAGTAGTTCGTAAGAGTTCGATTTCCGCTAGTATTTACAAAACTGTAAAATTTTTACTAGGTAGAAAATAGGAATCCATCTAGGTAGGTATCACATTAATATAACGTATCTCCTTAGATTTGAAATCGGTTAAATTTTAGAGAGCTGCACACACCGCCGTCCCTATCGATATCGCGTCGACCATGCGGCCAAAACGGGGCTTATCTCGGTCACTTTTCACGTTTTTCAGCAATCTACTCCCCTTTGCGACACCCTCCCACAGCCCAGAATAGGACGCCGGCCAGTGATACGCCGATATAAGGTTTATTGAAGTGATATAAAAAGGGTTATTCGATCCAACGTGCCAAAATCTAGTGTTATTATGTAAACAACGGGCACGGGAGATCAGTTAACAGATATTACTTGAATGACATGTTATTAATTGAATAAATTTAAGTTCTTAACATCTATGATTAAATGCTTTAATTACAATGGATTGATACGAGTAATATAACATGGTATTCATTATCTTCGGAAGGAAGATGGGGTTTGTCACTTAGATATATTTTTAATAATGTAAATGACTGCCTCGTTGGTCTAGTGGTTGTAGTAATTCGACTGCTAATCATTAGGTCCAGGGTTCGAATCCCGGATCAGGCAAAAAAGTTAATTATTGAGTTTTTCCGTCAAGAAATTCTCAATAGCTGCCCGGAGTCACGAAGTCGGCGGTATATCACCCCCGTGCTTCGGAAGGCACGTAAAGTCGTTGGTCCTGCGCCTGATCTCTCTCCGGTCGTGTTGGTTTACCGTCCCATCGGAATATGAGAGTGATGGCATAAAGAGTGCCACACCGGTGCCATCACTTCATTTGCGCATACACTTTGGCACTATAATCCTGTCCTGCGCTGATGGCTACTCTCCGTTGAGGCTGGCCGCCGTGACCGAAATCCGGTCTAGAGGACATTATTATATTTTTAATACTACGATAGAACAAAATTAATAAAAATCCAATAAGTTCTACTATTTAGCATGACATAATAAATTTCAAAATATTTAATAATAGATGTCCATGCTTAATCGGTTAAATAATATTCAAACAAAATAAGACATTCGAATGATAACGATAAAGTAATAGTACAAATAATAGTATATCTAATTAGTAAATAATAATGTGTAATACTTCATAATATGTCACAGATAAGCAGTTACTCGTAATCACAACAAACTAGATTCGCGAAAACTAAGTGTGCTTACATACAAAGGTTTAAATATGAACCCGAGACCCCTCTTGTATGCTGGAATGCCAGATTTAGACATTAGTATCTGGTCGTGCACTTGATATTTTGTATTTTCGACTATGTCACAGTGAAAACTACGAGTATATAGATGTTGTTCTATTTTATATGAAAGTCTAAAAAGATAAAGGTATGATATACCGCTAAACCCAAGCATCCGTCGATACAAATTATTAATGGAAATAAATCATTGTTGTCGATGCTTTACAAGTAATGATTTGTCAAGCTTATTCAAGAAGAAAAGTATGGTTAAAATGAACACACAGAATGTGAAATGTTACTAGGCATTGCGGTCATAATGGTACATGAGTAATTGAAGTCTTTTTTTGTAATAATACATTACATACAGCACGCATTCTAAAACAGATATATAAATAGCTGATGGACAAATATCCAAATCCGGATCAATTATTTGTGCCATTACAACCTATTAAAGTCCATTTCTGAGCATAGGCCTCCACTATAAATTGCCTCATAGGGGAGATATTTGCCATATTTGCCACGCTTGGCAAGCGGATTGGCAACCGCATTTTTTCATTTTTAGTCGTTATCAGGAAGATGCTGGTGCCCATCTCCTGATTTGTTTCCCTCTGTGGCCTCTTACGACACCCACGAGATGATATGGGGTAGTGGATATTTATTTATATAGATATTTATTATGGGGTACTATAGTTTTTGCCTCAGCTGTTGGGTTCTATAAATATATAATTATAAATGACAAATGAAAAAATAAATATACATAAATATCAATAACATAAAATAAATATAAAAGTACATAAATAAATAAAAGCCCAACCAGATGGAGGCCCTCGGCAGGGGAGACCAAACGGCCGAGGGTTAGGGAAAGGGAAAGAAACCGGCGGACGATGCGGGCGGTATCGAGGAGCACCGCCTTCTGCATTTGAACCTGGAGCGGTCCGCCACGTAGTCCCAGCCGCCTCGGATGACCCGAGAGGCTGACTGGGATTAGCCCGTTTGCAGAGACGACTACAGGAATAATTTCGGTCGGCAGACCACCCCACATGTCGGTCACCTCGTGAGCCAGGTCCAGATATTTTGTTTGCTTGTCTGTTTCGGCTTTCACGAGGTTCTCGTCATACGGAATGGTAATGTCGACCAAAAATATCCTTGACTGTGCCCGGTCCATCAGCACAATATCAGGCTTATTCGCAAGAATAGTCCTGTCTGTGATGATGGCCCGGTCCCAATAGAGCCTGGCGCGATCATTTTCGAGCACGGCTTCCGGCAAGTACTAGTAGTACGGCAATTTCCGGTCCACGAGACCGTATTTCAGAGCGAGCTCCTGGTGTAGAATTCTGGCTACTAGGTTGTGCCTGTGCAAGTACTCAGAGTTAGAAAGCGCCGAACAACCGGAGATAACATGCCTAAGTGACTCACCGGGATGGCGACAAGCTCGACAGATGTCGACGGTGCCATCCTTTAGGATGTATCTCCGATAGTTGTTGGTCTTAATAACCTGATCCTGTATTGCACAGACAAAACCCTCGGTTTCCCCGAAGAGATCACCAAAGCGTAGCCAGTGGAGGGAGGCTACTGTGTCTACGAAAGGCTCATGTAGAGCCTTGTAGAACCTCCCGTGGAGCTCCTTCTCCTTCCATACGGTCTCTCGGTCGGAAATGCTCTGCACTACCGGGTCTTGCCATTGCTCGTTGGCTAAGGATAGAGGGGTAAGTCCTTTATCACAAGAAATGACGTCCTTATAGAATGGATCATCCGATCTCGCCAGGAAGTAATGACGGAGGCTGCACACTTCGCGATTATGCATGGTGAGCGCGCTCAAGAAGCCACGACCACCATGCTTCCGCGACAAGTACAACCTCATTACCGACGATCTCGGATGATGCATCCTATGGGACGTCATGGTAGTGCGGACTTTTCTATCCAGGGCGTTAAGTTCAGTCTGAGTCCACCTGAGTATGCCAAAGGTATACATGAGGACAGGCATGACCCAGCCGTTATATGCGTGTGCCTTATTCACACCGGACAAAAGGCTGTTAAGCACTTTGGTCAAGCGTGCATAAAACACGTCGCAAACTGACTGTTTCATACCAGTCTCATCGATACCGATGTTTTGTGACATACCCAGGTATCGGTATGTTTCAGCCTCGGAAAGGGTCCTTAAGTTGATGGGCATAGATAAGTCTACGCCCTCAGAGTTAGCAACCCTTCCCCTTTCAACATGGAGGACCGCACACTTATCCGTCCCAAGCTCCATTCCAATGGAATTGCTAAATTCACAAGTGATGTTTAGCAATTCCATAAGATGGGAGCGACTGGAGGCGAATAACTTGAGGTCATCCATATAGAAAAGGTGGGTCACTTTTGTCCCTCCTCTCCGTAGCTGAAATCCCCTCCCGGAGCCCTCCAGTAAGGTACTGAGAGGGTTCAGAGAGAGGCAGAACCAGATTGGACTCAGACAATCGCCCTGGAAGATACCCCTTCTTATCCTTATGTGGTTCTCCGCAGCCATCATCAGCTCGCCCAGATGACAAAGGATCGTACTCCACTGCCCCATACACTGCTCAAGGAAGTCTCTAACTGTACAGTCTATCTTGTACAGCTCGAGGACTCTCTTTAGCCATGTATGGCGAGTCGAATGCCTTTCTGTAGTCTATCCAGGCGGCGGAGAAGTTCCGACGGTTGCGTTTCACCACTTTGCCAATGACCGCGTCAATGAGGAGTGGTTCCTTGGTTCCACGACCACCGCCCCGACATCCATTTTGAGCGCGCGACATCACCTGATTTGAGTCCAGGTGACAAGTGATTCTCGCGCTCAAAATGGATGTTAGTGTCTTGTATATGGTCGGTAGACACGTGATGGGGCGGTATTTGCTCGTGGTACCCTGGTCTTTAGGAACCAAATGAGTGATCCCAGTAGTGAAGAGGCTTGGGAGCGACTTCTGGTTGAGAGCCTCTTGAAACTGTCGGGCAAGCACAGAGTGACACACCATGAACCCCTTCAGCCAGTAGTGATGCAGCCCGTCAAGCCCCGGACTTTTCCAGTTCGGGGCCCTACGGACCGCCTCAGCTACGTCATCCGGCGTTATGATGACGGGGTCCATGGGCGTAATACCCGCACACTGACTCGCCACAACTTCCGTCCAAGGGCCCTCGCTGTGGTTTACGGGCTCTGACCACAGGCCGCGCCAGAATGCTACAGTGTCGGCCTGATTCGGTGCTGGACCCGTTCCACTTACCATTGGTCGCTCCAATGATTCATAGAGCCTCTTCTGACCACTCTGGAAGAGACGATTCTGGTTGAACCGTGTCGACCTCTCGGTATATCGCCGAATCCGTTTTCCCCAAGCAGCGATTCTCTGCTTCAGATCATCTATGCGCTCCGTCAGTTTTTGCGTTATATCCGGCTGGGACAAACTGACATTTGTCCCAGCAAACGCCATCCTGACGGTGCGCACAATTCTTGGCCTGTTGTTGCCTGATCTGAAGCATATCAGTCTGCCGATGAGAGCTCTAGCCTTTGCGATACGTTCCTCAATTCTTCTTCTCCATGCTGGGATAGCGCTACTATGGCCAGTAGCGCGTCCAGCCGTGGAAACCTTGGCGCCTATGATACGGCAGACTGCCAGCGCGGCGCCAAAAAGAATTGAGTCCGTCTCGCAAAGGTCCCGGCTGGCTTCCAAATAGGTCACCAGCATTGGGTTCAGAGCCCTCACGACAGCCCGATTCCGCTTGCTTAGGGCTATGCGGGGAAGTCGCGGTCGATTTTCGAGAGGCGTACTGCGCGTTTCCACAATCGCCTCCTCGCGTACTCCTCATATGCTCTAATTCCAGTTCCTGGGCGACTGTTCCATCATCGTTTGAATCAACCACAACTGGGGTATTCACGGCGACATCCACGTTTTCGGGTTGCTCTACCATTTGTGGCGCCGCATCCTCAGCCGTAGCATTCTCATCCGACGAGGGAACAGCCTCACGTCGTAGCCGTTCGAGTTCGGCGACATCAAATATATTTGAGCGATAGATATTTATTATTATAGTTTTAGTGCCGCAGCTTTGTAGCCAAGTGCTGTGATAATTATTGACGATATAGGAAGAAACTTATACGTATTTAAAACAAACAAACTCATTGAAAACCGGGCTTTAAACTCTTCCATATTTTGTAGTAATCATGCCAATAAGTATTGAGTAAAAGTGTTTATAGAATATGTATTAAATTAGCTAGAACCATTTTAAGCCCAAGGTCGTAACTACGTGAGCAAACACCGTACAGCATCGACAGGTTGTTTGATATGCCACGTTATCGCATCGACATTGGCGGGTTTGAACCCTGAGCAGGCTATCGCGCTCATTACGCGATAGTTATTCAGTTAGTTAACAATGCCGTCTGCGCTGATAGCGTCCCGCTAATGAGACTATGCCGCTTAGATATGTTGCTTATTTTATGTTCGTTTAGTTACTATTAGGTGTCTTTCGAGTGCGTGTGCGTGGAGAGAAATAGATACTTACTTAGAAATAAAAAGCTTGTCAGCCTAAAATCTTATAGTTTTAGTTACTATAGAAAATAGACCCACGCTGCAGCTATATTATGATTGTAGTACGAATGGGTTGGCTCAGCCGGGGAAGGACCACGCTCTTACAGCATACCTGCGTAAAATAGCAACCTAATACTGTTGTATTTCGTATGGTGAGTGTAGAGAACCGGAGACCCTTATAACTGGAAATGAGACATTCCATCATAGTCCTCAGGGGTGACAACGCATCTGCATTTTTATTCTTAATCGAGGATAACCGTAGATGTCTATGGGCCACAGCATCCACTTACTATCAGGTGGACTGTGTGCTCGTTAAGTTAAGCTAATTATTTTAAAAAGAATTGTGATTGAGTGACTTCTGAAAATCTTGGCCAATTAATGTCATAACAAGCAATATGTTTACTTTGTCGGGACTATGGTTCAAATTACGCTCGGACCGCCAGTATGTGACGCTATTTTTGAGTTTGTTTTTTTATTTACACTTCAAAAAGTCCGGAGTAAGTTCCAAATGAAACACATCACGCCACCTATCGCATAGGACAGAACAACGTCTGCCGGGCCAGCAAGTTTATGTAAGGTAGTAATAAATAAGCTTATAAATCCATGATAGTAAATGCTCATGGATGAGGATATAACTGATACTCCTGGCCTTCAAATTGGAACACAACAGTGGGATTCCAAAACCCTACTGTGTTGAGAAATTAAAAATAATAGTATCATTCTGGGATCAAAATTCGACCGTTTATGGGAAACCTCACGGTAATTTTATTACCATAAAGAGAGTCCTAAAATAAGAACAAAAAAGAAGAACATGGTACAAAATAAAACAACTGTATTATTCTCACCTCCTTTCATTTAGGTTGTTGCCGTTTTTCCATTCCATAAGCACAAAAATAGATGTGAAATTAGCGAAACAAAAAATGTTGTCGATAAATTCATTTAGTCTATGGCTTAGTAAACTTAACGATTTTTATTAATATCGTTCAAGGTACTTATTTAAATCAACGAAATTTTATGGAAGCTTTATCCAACATCTTATAACATAAACGTTGTCGAATAATGCGGAATTTCTTACTATCATTGTATAATTTAAAATATTCTGTGAAAAGGTCACTATGAAATCTTTAAACTTAAAATTCAGTCAGGACGTACACAAAGGGCACAGTTACTAAGAACCATAACAGCGGCACGATCGCGGTCTGTCTTTTCTTATTTCGCTAGATCACAACTACTAATGAATCGATTACAAACTATTGATTAGTAGTTATTACTAGTTTTCTCTCTGCTCCCTCAAGATATACAAACGATTGATTAGTAGTTACTACTCGTTTTCTCTCTGCTCCCTCAAGATAAACAAACGATTGATTAGTAGTAACTACTCGTTTTCTATCTCCTCCCTCAAGATATACAAACGATTGATTAGTAGTTACTACTCGTTTTCTATCTGCTCTCTCAAGATATACAAACGATTGATTAGTAGTTACTACTCGTTTTCTATCTGCTCTCTCAAGATATACAAACGATTGATTAGTAGTTACTACTCGTTTTCTATCTGCTCTCTCAAGATATACAAACGATTGATTAGTAGTTACTACTCGTTTTCTATCTCCTCTCTCAAGATATACAAACGATTGATTAGTAGTTACTACTCGTTTTCTATCTGCTCTCTCAAGATATACAAACGATTGATTAGTAGTTACTACTACCGTTTTCTCTCTGCTCCCTCAAGATATTATCCATCATTCATTCAATAATTACAGCCTATCAAAAGCTCACTACTGAATTTAGGGGGAATATTTGCCATACTTCCATTCTTAGCAAGTGGTTTTGCAACAAACCTACACCGCATTATCAAGATCCAGCCTTAACTTCATAATTTCAAAATATTTTTATCGACACAGATAAAATTTCGTTGAATATAGTCGATTGATTTCCGCTATACTAGTGGTAAATCTAAATAAATTTTACGTGGTAGAGCCACGCTACAGCCGTATTATAGTTGTAGCCCGAATGGGTCGCCTCGACCGGGGGACCAAGCTCTCATAGAATACCACCATATAATGCTGCTGTGTTTCGTATGATGAGTGTAAAGAACCGGAGACCCTTTTTACTAGAATTGAGGCATTCCATCTTAGTCCTAAGGGGTGACAACGCATTTGCATTTTGATTCCTTAGTTAAAGATAAACGTGGATGTCTGACTGTGTGCTCGTGTGTCACCATATGCTATAAAAAAATTGGATGACCCTGCACGCCATCCCTGGAACTTTCCGCTAATCTTAAATGCAAAGCGCTCCTAATTTCACCAAATTATATTGCGAAATCTCAAAGTTATGTTAAAAAAAAAACGTTTTTTTTTTTTATTCTTTCTCCTTCGATATCTCACGAACGAATGAATCGATTTTTATTTTCCAAACGGCATTCGACGTCATTTTTTGAGGTTAAGAGCTGACTAGTTTTTGAAACGATCGGTGAAGCCGTTTAAAGTTATTCCAAAAAACAGTTTTTCAAATTTCTCAAAATCCACTCGTTTGAATCAGTTCATATTAATCTATTCCACATTGAGATCTTTAAAACGCCGCAAACCGCATCTCAATCGATACACACACATGCACACATACATCCGTACGGACATCCACGAGAAATTATTCAGAATAGCTTCATGGGATCTCAAAACGTCTAGATCTGATGAAAACTCGATTTTCGAAAATCGGGGTGAAACCAATAACTTCCTTGTTTTTGAAAATTTTCAATTTTCTTAGCGGGAAGTTAAAAATTGCCGCATGAATGAAATATCATCACTTGGTAAAGGCTGGATCAATTTTAATGAACACTCACTCTCGCAATTGGACCCGGTAAATGGAACTGCTGTTGAGATCTAATCAGCCTATAAAATTCGGATTATAAATGAGATTGAACTCGATAAGCACCGTGTCTGTCAAGACTTAGTATTCATACCTCCCGCGAATTAACTATTCAACCTATTAGTGTTTAAAGTTTGCGAAAGAAATTTTCACAACGTTATATAATATTTATCATCACTTCATTTAGAGAACAATTTACTTGATCGTTTGAATAATAATAAGTCTACTTAGTCCTATGTTAATAAAAACAAGTATATCGATGTCAATTGTTGCTAACATTGTAAACGAAATCGCTATGGATTGAATAAATGTCTTGTAACATCACATATAATACAATAGGGATATAATTTTTCTAGTAAATCAGAATATACTTACTCTCATATTTGGCATAGTATATAGAGACTAAAGATGACTGCTTTAAATTTCTATTTCCACGCATGAATTAAACTCACCATCTTTCAACAGATTTGTCTCTTTTTGCCTTATTTGAAAATTAAATTAGAAAAAGCGAGACAAGAGACTCAATTTATTTTAAATTATGGGTTCTTACTAAGTATGTAATTACTCTAAGGTTCTCTGGTTCTCTATATGCATGCGTATGTGTGTAATTACTCTAAGTGGGAAACAAAGAACCCACAAAGAACGCTTTATTGTTATTTATTATTATTATTCGCCAATTAAGATAGGCAAAGGTCCTAAACCGTACAGTCTAGTCTGACGTGTTTTCACAAAATTCGTATTGTGGAATTTTTAAAGATTTTGACAACAGTTTGACCCAGTGGATAGATGAAGTCAATAATCTCAAGACGCCCAAGCAGATAAAAAAATTAAGACTTATATCAGCATCGAAGCACTGGTGACATCGTTTCCACTACTTTTTCGAATGTAGATTTAGAAATAGAAATGTAAATTTTATTTCTCAAAAACTTTTTTCATTTGCCGATGTTCGCATATTAATATAATGATTTTACATCGAAATATTTTTTTATATCACAGAACGGTCGTTGACTCATGATTCTTCGTTCTTCTACGCCGAGCACATGTTAATGGGAGCCCTTAGCTACTGAGCTAACACCTCATATATAAAAAAATATGTGCAAGACTAAATGTTTAAATCACATTTGAGTATCTATCTCATTTGTTTAGGTGATAGGGTAACACCTGACTACAACGTGCCTCTTAAATAGAATCCTGTACACCTGTTGATTGTGAACATTACACTTGAGCCTAAGTGATCGAGCTTACCTAGAATTAATACATACTCGTATACGTGATCTGTACACACGTTTCTATGCACCATA